TTTTCACTTTTTTTTCTTAAAACTTCCATAACTTTTTGAAAAATCAACAAATCAACATAATTTTTTTTTATACTAAAACCTTAGATATTTACCTTTCATTTGATATCATTTTTTTAAAAATCTATCACTTAACCTGCTCATTAGGGGGGATTTAAAACAGCAACTTTTTTACAAAAACTACCTTTTTCAACTTAATTTTTGAAAGTGTTCCGAAAATACTGCGTCCTTTAAACATATATAAAATTTAATTTTCGAAATTTTTTCAATTTTTTATACTTAAAAGTGCTATAACTTTTTCAAAAATAGACATATCAATATAATTCTTTTTTATATAGATGAACAATATCATTACCTTTCATTTGGTATATTTTTTTCATAAATTTAACCCTTAACCTGCCCACAAGTTGGGAATTAAAATGACAACTTTTTCACAAAAAATTAACTTTTTCAACTTAACTTTTGAAAATGTTCCGGAAGGTCTGACACTTTTATATATATCTTAAATTAAAGCTAATGTAATATACTTTATCAGGAAAAAAAAAATTTCGGACTTTATTTTATCTTCAAGGTGAAAATGGCTACCAAATGCTATTATTGTGTGAAAATTTTCGATTTTGTATTTTACATTTTTAACTTTATTATGCTATAACTTTTTGAAAAATGTATTAATCATTGCAATTTTTTCATGAAGAGTAGTATTCATATACATCTTTCATTTGACATACTGTTTTTTTAAATCGAACCATTTCCGTATAAACGAGGGGGGTTCAAATCTAAAAAATGCATGTAGAAAGTAGAACTTTTTTAACTTAACTTTTGAAAATGTTCCGGGAGGTCTGAAACTTTTATATATATCTTAAATTAAAGCTAATGTAATATACTTTATCATGAAAAAAAAAAATTTCGGACTTTATCTTATCTTCATGGTGAAAATGGCTACCGAATGCTATNGGACTTAATTTTATCTTCACGGTGAAAATGGCTACCGAATGCTATTATTGTGTGAAAATTCTCGATTTTATGTTTTACATTTTTAACTTTATTATGCTATGACATATTGAAAAGTGTATGGATCAACATTATTTTTTTATGAGAAATAATATTTTTTAATAATCTTTTTTTCATTCGACATACTTTATCTTAATTAAGATATTAATAATGAACTAGCAGATCATGTAGCTTTTGGAATAATACACAAATTTTTAAAAATTAAACACAGTCTAAAGATTTGCATCGAAGCGTTTATTTTTGATAGTGATTTTAATCATTGTCAGATATCATTATACTTTATCCATCTATGCCATGTCACCACTGTGCCGCGACCCCTCTGTTCTGGGTTTTTTTTTTTTTTGTTTTAAGATAATAATAATGTTTTACTAATATTTACTAATATAATAATATTTCAGGCAGTAATGAAGTTTGTTAACTCACATATAATTAATTTTTATAGGAGTATTATAGAACTTCTAAACGGGGTAAAATCTTTAATAAATATTACAATTTAGCAACGTCATTTAAAGTTGTATCTGGACCTCTTGGAACGGCAGACAAGAAATCACCTGTCAATTCTGAAAAGTTTAGTAGACATTCAAAATGCTCAGGTATATTGCAATTATAATATATATATTAATATAAATAATACTTTATTTCTGGAATAGATAAAGTTAAAGCTGTAAAACTTTTAAATAATACTTTTTAGAACCAGAGGTAGATTCAGAGAACTATATAAAAATATTAAAATATGACAATTTAAGTAATGAGGAATTTGACCGAACATGGCAGGCATGTTTTAATTCACGCCTTGATTTTATAAAAAAGTATACAACAAAAGACATCTTTGATAAATGGCCAGCATATAAAACAGCAAATGGTTACCGTTTAGTAAGTTTGAGAATTTTATTCATCAAGTGAACAAGAATTTATTATTTTTAAATTTTCAGATTGACATGGACTTTGAGGCTGCTTTTGAAAAAAAAGGCGACCTTCTAGAAAATTGAGAAAAAAATATTAGTAAATTGTTGTTATTCCTTTCTTTTAATTCTAATGTTAAAGACAAAAATGTAAGAAAACTTATTGAAATTATCAGAATGAACAATCAAATATCTGAAAGTAAGAGAAAAAAAAAATTTGATGTGTAGTTTTATCAATATCTACGTTACATTGTATTTATTTTTTAGACGGAAGAGATGCTGCTATTATTTGGGCACTGCATGGGTATTTTGTACCAACTAATAAACTTGTTAAGATTGACCCAAAAACAAAGCAGAAAACAACTATAAAATTTACTATTCGAGATTCACAAGAATCCGTTATTTTTGTTGGATCTACAATTCAAATGGTCGAAGACCATATTGAAAACTTGAAAAAATCAAAAAAATCAATCCAGCCCACTATATTTTGTATTGGAGAAAATATAACATCAATTAATGAGATTTTCCTATATTTGGATGGCGTTAGATATATTTTTAAAAGTATCATAAAAGCTCTTGATATTTGTTTTAAATCCATTTATTTATTTGATTTTAAATTTCCGGATGAATCTGTAATATTTTATTCTTTTTTGGAATATTTTTTTTATGATTTCAAAGATAAGCTAAGTTTTCCTAAAGTACATGTATTGGAACAATACTTAAATAATTAAAGTATTGTACCAATACATGTAATTTATNGTATTGGAACAATACTTAAATAATTAAAGTATTGTTCCAATACATGTAATTTATCAACTTAAATTTATACATTAATTAGTTGTTAAATTGATATTTATATAAATTCTTTTGTTATTAATAATTGATTGTTTAAATTCTTTATACTAATTTGAACTATATTTTTACTTATAATTAAAATAAATAAATGCGTTGATTAATACAATAAATTGTTAAATAAAATTTACTGTATATTTTGATGGTATTGATTTAATATTTTATTCCTTATTTAAAGCTTTTAATTTTTTAATAATAAAAAATATTTTTTTTGTTATCCTGAAAAGTTATAAATTTGGACTTTAACCCCTTTTCTTTATTAATTTTTTTCTATTAAATTCAATTAATTTTTATATTCAATTCTTATAAAAATTAATATTATAGTAATACTAGTAGTAATAATTATAATTAGAAGTGTAATTTAAAAAAATTATAAATATAAGGAATACTGTTTATTGATATTAAAATCCTGGTATTTTATATTACAATCGTAGTTATTAATATAACGAATACAGTACCTAAAATCAATAATCCTAGTTGTAATATTTATAGAAAATGGGTTTTATTATAAAAACACCGTTATTGATATTATGTACACGATATTTTAGCATTAAAAACAACAGTTATTAATATTACAATTGTTGTTTATCAATATTACGGTAGGTCCGTACATAATATTAATAATTAATATTTCGTTATATCAATAATGGCGTCATCGGATTCAAACCAATAACCAAAATTATTTTATTAATGAACTTTTTTTTTAATATTACGTACTAATTTTTTTCAGTGTATTATGAAGTATAATTGTGAATACACCTGATTGTTACGTAGTTATATTATTATTATTTTAATTATTATATCATTTACAAGTGATACTATTTTTCTTGGAAACCGCTTCTGGAGAATACTTTTTTTGCACCACACAATTCATGGCCGGCGAAACCGGATACTCTAACCGAAATCAGTCAGAATTGCCCAAAGAGTACAAAGCGCTGCAGGATCGTGAGCTCTACTGGTCACCGGTGTGCCTAAGTGCCAAAGCTTAGCACACGAATAAAATTGATAGATTTTTTGTTTAAATGATACTTATAAAAATAGACATGAAATTAACGTATATTTTGCATACATTTTTCGTTTTCTGATATATGTTTAAGATTTCATGTGTAAAAAAACCCAGCACAGGGGGGCCGCGGCACAGTATAAAGATATCTGACAGTGATTAAAATCACTATCAAAATAAAACGCTTCGATGCAAATCTGTAGATAGTGTTTCCTTTAGGGAAATTGATGAAATATTTTAAAAGCAACATCAACTCTTATTTCTTTAATTATATCCTGATTAGTAGTTCTTTGATTTTAAAATATAATATATGAATAAATACTAATTATAGTTTTTAAATTTAGTATGAAATTGTGAGTCCAGCTATGATGTATGGTTCAAAGTATTGGGCGGTTGATAAGAAAGAAGAGCAGAGAATAAGTGTAGCAGAGTTGAGAATGCTTGGTTAGATGAGTGGAGTGACTAGAGAAGATAGGATAAGGAACGAGCATATAATAGGAAGTATAGGTGTTGCGTCAATCATTGGATAAGATGACAGAAAATAGAACTAGATTGTTTAGTCATGTTATGAGGAGAGAAGAATCGGAAGATGTAAGAACAGTTATAGAAATGAATGTTGAAAGAAGATGAGATAGAGGAAGACCAAAAAAGAGATGGAGGGATGCTATTGAATGCGATTTGAGGACAGCTGATGTGAGAGTAGAAGATGTGGGAGATCGTGTCAAGTGGAAGCTTAGGATAAGGGTGGCCGACCCCGAGTAGTTGGGATTAAGGCAAAGTTAAAAAAAAAGATTACCAGAAATTCCGGTGGCAATTGACATAATATGATTGTTGTTTCGGAATGTACAATTTAGCGTTTAGTTGGTGTTAGCGCGAGTCACACTATAGTATGGTCTTTTATCTTTGTTTGGCTGGTCAGCAATGTGTCTTTTAGTATTAAGTCTAATCAGTGTACGTTCCACCGCTGAACCATCAGCGACGCGCTCCAATATTAATCAAGGTTACATTTGTATTTAAATATTTTCATGTAAGTTTTAATTATAAATAAAATTAAGGAACAAATATTTCGTACATTTTATTTATTCATATTAAATTTAATATTTATTACATTAATCAAACAAATTAAAAAAAAAAATTATATCATAAAAATAAGGTTAATTGAGCGTTCGATTTTAACGGTTAATAATCCCGCTCACCAACATTTCTGGTCCTTCGAACCGGATTTATATGAATAATTAAAAAATAAATAAATTTTCGAGTACAAAAAGTGCGTATGTGCGTAAAGTTCGGGTAGTGTGTTTTAGNCTATCACACAGCCCATAAAATTTCAGTCCGTATTTGGCTGGTTTTTGCGGCATATATTGAACGAAACCACATCGTCCTCTAAATGCGAATAACATCTCATCAATTGTTGTGAACTCGCTAAGGCTATAATTATTTCTACAGTTGTCCAAAAATATTTTGTATACACATCTAATAGCAGCAAGTTTGTCAGTTTTTTCTCTCTTCGCTCTAGTAGACAAATCATCAAACCTGATTGTTCGAAGTAAGAAAAGAAATCGCTTGTAACTAAATGTTGCTCTTGTGATCAACATACCTGTTCCATCATCTTTCCACAATTCTTTACAGTTTGCACGATTTCCGTGCTTCACACCGATAAGGAACAATATACCAAAAACAGCCATAATTTCATCACGAGACGTGTCTTTGCAATCTCTATCTCTAGAGTATTTTACTTGTGCTCTTTTTGTAGCAATAAAAGTATTTGTACATTCGACAATAATATCAATCAAATCTAGGTTTATAAATTTGAGAAATGCATCAATAGGTCTCCGAGTATCTTTGCAAATTCGAGTTGGACCAGGAGTAAATTTTATAATATTTTTCGCTGGTACTCTTGAACGTTTTTGCACGGGGGACTTAGAACTCCAAATGGTTTCACCATCTTTTCCAATAAAAAATACAAAATCGTTCTCTGTATCATCAACCTCCATGGTGTCTACATCCTCTACTGAAACTTCTGAGCCACTGTCATACTCATTTACCTCTACAGCCTCAAGTTCACCTTCAACATCAGAGCCGTCGATATCTTGTGTTTCTTGAACCTGTCCTTGCCCTTCATCATCAGATTGTTCAAGAATAAGCCTAATCTCTTCCTCAGAATAGTTTTGTTTCGCCATAAGTAATAAATAAATACATATATTTAAATTATGAATAAATATAATAAAAAAAGTCAAACTAACTTGTAATAAAATAATTTGCAATAGTTTCTATCAAAATTTGAATAATAAAAATACTTACATTAGTGAGCGCGTGCAGAACGGAATGCTGCCGAATGAATTCTATCACGTTAAATCTTCACTGGTGACTGATAGTATGGAGGAAAATAATAATTGATATATTGATAATATTACTAGTGTTGCCAACTACAGGTACTGAAATTATCTAGCCTTTCAAAAATACATACTAGTATTTATCACGAAAAAACTAATTTGGCAGCACACAGTGCTGCTACGCGTCCACCGGAAGGTTAAACAAGCCTCTAACAGTGCAACAACATACAAAAGCCATTTATGATATAAAACCTGTTATCGAGGAATCAGCGGACAATCTGCGAATGTTTACTGACGATTTAGTCGGCAACATGAAAGCACTGGAAAATTTAGGCCATGATGTTAATTTATGGGGTCCTCTTATGATTCACGTCATAAAATTAAAAGCCATTTAAATGAAACATTTANTAATAAAAATTAAAAGCCATTTTAATGAAACATTCATTGTAAGAGCACTGCTCGATTCAGGCTCTCAAACTAATTTTATAACCACTGAGTTAGCGCAAAGATTAAAATCGCCACGAAAAAGAGTAAATATTAGTATATCCGGTGTAGATAATTCTAAAGGTAAATCATTTTACTCTATAACAACATTAATTCAGTCACAATAAGCNCTCTATAACAACATTAATTCAGTCACAAAATAGTAATTACAGTAGCCAACTCGATTTTTTAACGTTATCAAAAATAACTTCATTTTTACCAAACGAAACAATAAACACAACTGGTATAAACATACCTAATGACGTTAAATTAGCTGACCCACATTACGACGTACCTGGCAAAATAGATGTACTACTCGGTGCTGAATGTTTCTATAGTATACTAAAGGCCGGTAAACATAAGGTAGATGCAACTGAAATAATTTTCCAAGAAACAGAACTAGGCTGGATAGTTGCAGGATCTGTGTCCAGTTTAGCACAAACAACTACAAAAACATTTTTCAATTCGATTGTAATTGATAACCAAGTAAATTTAAATGAATTGATGTCAACATTTTGGCAAGTAGAAGAAATGGGTTCAAACAAAAAACTCAGCATTGAAGAAAGGTCTTGTGTCGAGCATTTTGAACCTACGGGAAAAANCAGTAAAACGTGAACCTACGGGAAAATTTATTGTTGAACTCCCACTGAAAAACAACGTTGAATTACTTGGTGATTCAAAGGCAATGGCGCGGCGACGTTTTCTAGCTACAGAAAATAATTTACGAAAAAATAATGATCTTCGTGTAAAGTACGTTGAATTTATGGATGAATACTTAAAATTGAATCATATGGAAGAATCGCAATCAACAAACGAAATATCATACTATATGCCACACCATGCTGTTTTACGCAACCACAGTGCAACAACACAAACCCGTGTTGTATTCGACGCATCTGCACAGTCCACTTCAGGAACAAACTTAAATCAAATGCTTATGAAAGGGCCGGTAATTCAAGATGAACTTATATGTATTTTAACACGCTTTCGGGTATACAAGTACGTGCTGTCAGCAGATATAGCTAAAAAGTATAGGCTAATATGGGTAGCTAAAAAGGATAGAGTTTTGCAAAAAATATTTTGGCGATCTCAACCACACGAAGAATTAAAAGAATATTGTCTGTCAACAGTTACATATGGAACCACAAGTGCTCCATACATCGCTACGGCGTGTCTCAAAAAATTGGCAGAGGAGAATTGCACTAAATATCCGTCGACAAGCAAAGCAATTTCGACAGATTTTTATGTTGACGATTATTTGGGCGGCACAAACACTATTGAAGAAGCCATAACACTGAGAGATCAAATAATAAAAATTACCGATAGCGCTGGGTTTACATTACGAAAATTGATATCAAATGAACCGACATTGTTGTCAACTATAAAGAACATAAGTAATGACCCGCATTATATTATGAATATTGACGGCAGCGCAACNTAATGACCCGCATTATGTTATGAATATTGACGGCAGCGCAATAAAAACGTTGGGCTTATTGTGGAGTCCATGGGATGATTATTATCAATACAAATATAATGACATCGAATCAAGTAAACAATCGAGTTCTAAACGTACAATATTATCTACTATAGCGACAATATTTGACCCGCTCGGACTAATAGGACCGGTTGTAGTATCAGCGAAAAAGATAATGCAACAGCTATGGCAACTGAAAACGGATTGGGACGACGAGCTGCCCGCACATATTAGTCGGGAATGGGAAGCGTATCGTAACGAACTACAGTCGACTCTCGATAATTCGAAGTTGGCGGGACTGTCGAAAAACTTCGAATTACCGAGAGTTCGAATTGTTGAATAGTTTTTCTAGGGACCGAACATTTACTTCGAATTATCGAAAGTTTCGAATTATCGAAGGTTTGAATTATCGAGAGTCGACTGTAGTAGATATCGAAAAAATAAAAATACCGCGAAGAATAATTGGTTGTGACAACGTGTGTGACATGCAAATTCACGCTTTTGCGGACGCGTCTATCAGTGCATACGGTTCGTGTATTTATTTAATGGCAAAAGACGCAGACGGGTCGCGTATAGTTCGACTTATTACGTCAAAATCGCGAGTCGCTCCATTAAAAGTTATTTCACTCGCGCGACTGGAAANATCGCGAGTCGCTCCATTAAAAGTTATTTCACTCGCGCGACTGGAACTGTGTGCCGCCGTATTATCAGTGCGTCTCGTCAATAAATTAATTCCAAAACTTAATTGTTGTACAAGTAAAATATGGTATTGGTCAGATTCACAAATCGTTCTTGCATGGATAAATTCACCATCCTCTCGATGGAAAACGTTTGTTTCTCACCGCGTCGGAGAAATACATAACACTTCTACGGCTGCGCAATGGAAGCACGTGCGTTCAACGGATAATCCGGCAGATATCATATCCCGAGGATGCAGTCCATAAGCACTAATAGAAAATAAATTATGGTGGACAGGTCCAACGTGGCTAACTCATGACGAATCAAATTGGCCTAATGACAATTGTCAAAAAATTATAGTGGAAAAAGATGATTTAGAAGAAAAGNTTATAGTAGTAAAAGATGATTTAGAAGAAAAGCAATTCGTAGTCACATTAACAAAAATTGAAAAGTTTGATATCACGGAACGGTTTTCATCATTAACTAAATTACTCAACATAACAACGAATATTCTAAGATGGAGAAAAATTGTAAGAGATAAGCGGTAGTCAAATTCAAAATGTATTTACACTATTTACATCGACCCAGAAGAAACTATTCGGGCTAGACCAAAATTATTGTTAGTCGTGCAATCTCAATATTTTTCTGAAGAATTACAATGTTTACATAAAGGAGAGCCAATAAAAAAGAAGAGTAAATTGTTTTTTCTTAACCCTTTCGTCGACAATAATGGTCTAATTCGTGTTGGTGGCCGGTTAAATAATTCAGCGTCCATTAGTAACGATAGAAAAAATCCAATTTTACTACCATCAAAATCAGCTTTCACTATGCTACTATTCAAGTATGAACATATTCGATTGCTGCATTCTGGGTCACAGGCTTTATTAGCGGCTGTTCGTGAACAATATTGGCCCATCAATGGACGAAATATAGCAAGGTATACTGTGCATAAATGCATACCTTGTTTCAAATCTAAACCAATGGTATTTCAACCCATTATGGGTAACTTACCGAGCTCACGCGTGGACGCGTTCGAGCGTGCGTTTTTCGCAGCGGGCGTAGATTATGTTGGGCCAATCAATATAAAAAGTGGACTTAGAAAAAACGCGCCTCTGGTAAAGGCGTACGTCTCTTTGCTTGTTTGTTTTTCGTCAAAAGCGGTTCACCTAGAGCTTGTCAGCGATCTCACAACGGAGTCGTTTCTAAATGCACTTAGGAGATTCTGGGCCCGCAGAGGAATGAATAAATACATGTACTCAGATAACGCCACAAATATGGTAGGTGCAAATAGAAAATTAAAGGAATTAATAGAGCTGTTCAAGTCTAAGGATCACTTGGAAGCTGTAAACCGCTGCTCTGCTGCCCTCGGCGTCAAATGGTGTTTCATCCCAGCGCCCAGTCCACATTTTGGTGGTCCATGGGAAAGTTTNATTTTGGCGGTCTATGGGAAAGTTCAGTGAAATCCGTTAAAAAACATTTAACAAGATCGTTTGGTGAGGCCTCATTAAGTTACGAAGAATTATATACCGCTCTTGTGCGAATTGAGGCGTGCTTGAATTCTAGGCCTATAACGCCCCTATCTACCGATCCTTCGGATTTAAATGCATTAACTCCTGCTCATTTTTTAATCGGTGGTTCTTTGACTGAAATACCTGAACCGGACTTCACCAAAATAACTCCTAATCGTCTANCGAACCGGACTTAACCAAAATAACTCCTAATCGTCTAAGACGATGGCAGCGGGTAACTCAATTGACACAGCAAGTTTGGAATCGATGGCAAACCGAATATTTGTCTACGCTTCAATATAGGGCAAAATGGACAAAATCGGTGGGAGCTGTTCCCAAAGAAGGTGATTTGGTTCTAATAAAGGAATGTAACTTGCCTCCACTTCAATGGAGGCTCGGAAGAATTTCAAAGATTTTTTTTGGGAATGACAATATTGCCAGAGTAGCTATGGTGAAAACAGATAGAGGGGAATTCAAGAGGGCAGTCCGAACCTTATGCCCTTTGCCACTCGATGAGGAGTAGTCAAGTTTGTAGAATGTTGTACATTAAATATATTATGTAAAATAAAACTGTTTTTCAAATAGTTGAATAAGTATTTTTATTAATTTTATTTTTGTTTTTTTTTATAAATTCGAATATTGTGATATTAATTTACTTATTTAATTATTATTATTTTTCAAATGTTATTTTCATTATTTAGTTAAATTTATTATTATTATTTTACCTGTATGGTGAAATGGTGGCCGGTATGTTGACAATCTATGTATATATATCATAATTTTTTTTTGTAATCTAATAACAGCCGGCCGGCCTTTTTTGGTACGCCCGTCAAAAAAAAAAAAATTATATTTTGTTTATCTAAAAATTTTTGATGTTTATTATTAATTAATTATTTAATTTTATATTTATTTAAAAAAAAAAAATTGTTTATCTAAAAATTTTTATGTTTATTATTAATTATTTATTTAAATTTATGTTTATCTCTGAATTTGATCATGTTTGTATACTATATTTTCAATTATTTTGTTTGATTTTACAAGTGTAAAATGGTGGCCGGTATGTTAGCGCGAGTCACACTATAGTATGGTCTTTTATCTTTGTTTGGCTGGTCAGCAATGTGTCTTTTAGTATTAAGTCTAATCAGTGTACGTTCCACCGCTGAACCATCAGCGACGCGCTCCAATATTAATCAAGGTTACATTTGTATTTAAATATTTTCATGTAAGTTTTAATTATAAATAAAATTAAGGAACAAATATTTTGTACATTTTATTTATTCAT